AAATCTTCGAAAGCGCTTGTTGTCAAAATGAAACCGAGCGGAAGGGTGCACCTTTGTTTGCGGGAAGTGTCGTCAAGCATGTCGCAGACTGTTTCCAATTACCCAGACCAAGAGCACGTACATGTGATAGATGTTGTAGCAGGTGAGTGAGGGTAAGTGTCTGGAGTCTTTCTCAGATCCATCATGTTTCGCCATGTTCTTGTCGAATCCGAGGATAGCTCTTAGATGTTCTTAGGGTTTAGGGTTTAGGGTATTGGATGCTCACTATCAAGAACATCGTTTTTATGACGATCATGGACCTTCCTTGCTGTGCCCACGTCCACGGCGCGTTGCCAAGGACCTTGACCAGCACCAGTATGAAGGAATTCCGCCGTTGCCCAAGATCGGCTTGAATTGCACAGCCGGCTTTGTGTCACAGTGTTTTGCATCGGCTTATGCCACGCCCCGCTTCATCGGCAAGGCTCAACCCAAAACGTCTAAACCCTAGTTGAACTGTGTCATGTAGCGTACAGTCACTCAGTTTCGATTAGAACATGTGGAGAATAACATATGTGTATTAGTATATATATATATATACATGTATGCAGACTGCCATAGGTATACACATAAATCCAAACATAGATATTTAAGTACACAAATACATACATATGTATGTGTTTTATATACACATATATATATATATATGTATGTAAGAATGTAAGACTGTATGTATGTAGGTAGGTAGGTAGGTAGGTAGGTAGGTAGGTGATAGGTAGGTATGTATTTATGCCTGTCTGTATGTATGCATGAATGCATGCACGTGTGCCTGCATGTATGTATTCTTGTTCACACATGCATACATGCATGCATGCATGCGTACTGAGGTTCGAACATCTGTGAGACATTCTGCGATACCAGCCAGGAGCCGCCAAGCAGTTGCCAAGAAACATGCAGAAGCCACACCAGGTGGGGTTCTAGCGGCTGCTGGGAATACAAGGAGTAGTGAAGCTCCAGCCTCTTCTGCGCCATGATTCACACATATTTCCATAATGCTCACCATCAAGCTCACAGTTTTAAAGGTCAACGTTGCAATGGCTCTTCGCAAGCCGGAAGATTGTGGTAGGAGCAGCAGTGGTAGTAAGTACTCACAGAAGTCTCGAACAGGCGGGATTGCCTCGAAAAGGCTTTTCTCAGCTTCAACCAAGAGAAATATATGGAGGAGTTGACATAATATACAACCTAAATAATCAAAGGCCCCTACATTAGGTTCGTGAGTTTCGGGATCCTTGCCAAAGACGACTTCACTGCGCCTTCAAGCAAACAAAGAAATAAACAGATACGTTTTCTTGATCTAGAATATAAATACATGGTGCATGTTCGGTTGATGCGCCACAGTAGTTTATGTGCATGTATGCAGGTATGTAAACCCTAAACCCTAAACCCTAAAGCCTAAACCGAAACTGCTTAGACTATGGACGGTCCTATTCCGCAGGAGTCGATGTGCCAACCAGAATGCCTTGATCGTGTGCTGGGCCTCGCACTGAGCTGCTGCCCCAACTTGGAGGTTCATGGCTAGTTTTAAGTAGGGTTATAAGTTATAAGTCCCCTAGTATGGGTTATAATTATAGTTATCCTACTTATAACCCCGCTTATAACTACCCATGAACCTCCAAGAAGAGAACCCAAATTCGAGAGTCGCGGAGTCCTTTACTTTTACCTTGCGGGAATTCTGAATCAAACACCCTGAATCCCTACGTAGTATAACCCCTAAACCCTACAGCTTCTACGGGGCCCAGGCCCAGGCCCCAAACCCTAAACCCTAAATCCTAAACGGCCTAAAGCCTGAACCCTAAACCCTAAACCCTAAACCCTTAAACCCCTACCCCCTAAACCCTAAACCCTAAACCCTAAACCTGAACCCGAACCCTTAACCAAGACCAGTTCAGACCCAGAGACCTGAAGCTCAATCTCCTCAGAGCTGGCTTGGTACTGGGTACTACCTAAAGGTACTTCGGGATTAGGGTTTAGGAGTTTAGGGTTTTGGGTTTAGGGGTTTTGGGTTTAGGGTTTTAGGGTACTACTTAAAGATGCTTGGTACTTAGTAATTTGAAGTGTTCCTTCAAGAGCTCCGAGGGTTTTTGTCGAGGCCTCTATACGAGTTCTACAAGGGAGCGGTTGAGGGTTGCTTAAAGGATCAAGGGACTTTGTAGCAGCTAGGCTTATCATACAAAGCCATGAATAGCACTACATAGAACCCCCATTGAGGTACTTATAACCCTTACTCACTAAGTCCCATGATCCTCAAGTGTAAGGGTGAGGGTTCTGAACTATTAGAAGTAGTTTTGCCTTGCAAAGCTTTTTCGGCTTACTTGTTCAGGCTCCGGGTCTAGGGTTCAGGGCTGCAACTACGGGGAGGTTGGAGCCCCTGATCACTACAGGGGCCCAAACAATTACCAGTACTGTGTTGGAGTTCTTTCTTTTACTTATAGTATTATATTGGCCAAAAAGCCCTATTCTAATTGTATTATATTGGCCGAAAAACCTTGTTTTAATTATCCTATTAACCCTATACTATAGCCTTATAGTAGCCCCTTGTAGAAATCTTTACGAAACCCGTGACATGACAGTGAGCAACGTTCCGCTCATGCGTTCTGCTGACCCTGGCCATGCCACTTTGCAAGGAACTGTTATAGGGGCCTAAATAACTACCTTACATTATTTTGATGGCTCCTTACTATGATTGTACTCGAATGTAATGTGCCCCAGAGCCCTATTCTAATTGTTATGGCCCCTACATTACAGCAATGCTTGCTGGTGCATCAGCAGGCCGTGAACGGACCATGTCTGCTTCCTGGGCTAGCCAAGTGCATCCTGACGGATGTGACAAAATTCAAAAGCAATGCTGCAGCAGGGAAGAAAGCTGGGGACCAGGAGAACAAAGTCATGCATAACTGAAAACCCTAAACCCTGAACCCTAAAACCCTAATGTAGGAACCTGATTAAGAAACCCTGGTCCTGTAACCCGAAAATAGCAGGGTTCATAAAAGGAACCCTAACAAAGACCCAGGGTTTCTTAATCAGGTTCCTACATTATAAACCCTCAACCCTAACTTCGGCTAGGTTGCTAGCCATGACGATGTAGGGATGACGGGCCGTCAAATTCTTCGAAGGGGCTCTAAGCTCCGTGAGGGTATGGTCGCTTAAAAAGGGTTTAGGGTTTAGGGTTAAGGTTTAGGGTTTAGGGTTTTGGGTAAACTCTAGAAGTTATGACCACTAAGTCTACTGAATACACTGTGAACCTGACGTCCCTTACTCTTATTGCGACGATTTGCACGCGAAATCTGAACCTTATAAAGCCTGCAGTGACCCTTCTAGAGACCCCTCTGACGATAGATGTTTCCCCTAAGCCCTAAGCCCTAAAGACTTATCCATTCCACTTGGAGGATCATGGGACTTAGTAAGTAAGGTTGTAAGTCCCCTAATTGGGGTTATAAGTATAGTTACCTTAGTTATAACCCCCTAAACCCTAAACCCTACTTACTAAGTAGCATTGTCGACAGGTTTCCTGGTGTTTCCGAAGACGATGCTCTTTCAAGTCCTGGAGGAGTCCTCGCCAGGTCGGGGGGTTGGGGGACACTGAAACCCTAG